GTAAACTTAATGATTTGGTGAGAGATTTGGCCCTTCCAAAGGATTCTTCAGAGATTTTTGGGTCCAGACTTTGGGCTAAGAACTTACTTTCTCCAGGGACATCATTTTACTGGTACAGAAATCATGAGCAAGAGTTTATACCATACTTTTAGCAAGAAGGTTCACTGGCTTATTGCAGCAATATTGCTGAATTAATACCAATGCTAGGAGCTGCAGTCTATGAACCAAATGAGAGGCCATTGTCCATTGATTCATCCAAATGAAGTTTAAAAGGTGTTCTCCTTCACAATGGTAACATATATACATTTGTTCCTATTACTCATTTGGTTCAGTTGAAGGAAATGTACGAAAATCTCGAACTTCTTAATAACGTTAAATACAAAGAACAAGGTTGGCTACTTTGTGAAGACTTAAAAGTTCTTACTATGTTGTTGGGTAAACAATCCGGTTATACAAAGTTTCCATGTTTTGTATGTGAATGGGACAGCAGAGTACGAAATCAGCACTGGATAAAGAAGCAATGGCCATGCAAAGTCAGAATGATACCAGAATCGAAAAACATTGGGCGTGAAAGTTTGGTTACACAAAGAAAGTCCTATTACCTCCACTTCATATAAAATTAGACTCAATGAAGCAAATACGGCGACTGTTACAAGTATCTATGTGTTAAATTTCCATCCATTTCAGAAGAGAAACTTAAAGAAGTGATTTTTGTTGGGCCTCAGATTAGGAAATGGACTTCAGATGAACAGTTCGAAAGGACAATGAGGAAAGTTGAAAAAGAAGCGTGGCTTGCCTTTAATTAAAGATGTTATTGACAAATGTTTAGGAAACAACAAGGACCCAAATTACGAAAATATTGTCAATAACATGCTCGATAAATTCAAAGAGTTGGGTTGTAATATAGGCTTGAAAATTCATTTCTTACATCACATATTGACTATTTTCCCGAACAATCTCGGTGTCGTCAGCGAAGAACAAGAGGAAAGGTTTTATCAAGACATCAGAAGAGTGGAGAGGAGGTATCAGGGAAGGTGGAATATCAACATGATGACTGATTACTGCTGGTCATTGAAACAAGATGCCACAGACGCAATACATAAAAGAAAGACCACAACATGTAGTTTTGAAATATCATTAACTCTTTTACTGCTGTTTGAATTTCCCTCCTGCATCTTAGTTTTTTATTTCTGTTTCATTAACAGAAAATGTGATATCAGTAACAGCATAGCTTATCACATGTTATATCTTTAATATGTTATAATTATCAAGATGGCAGCATGCAAAGCGCTCAGAACTAAATCTAATAACACAGGCCTGCGAATGTTTATCGTCTTGAAATTTTTACATGTTCTACACGTACAGAGTTTTCACAAATCGTCATAACGCAATACATAAAAGAAAGACCACAACACGTAGTTTTAAGACTAAAAGACGTAGATTTCACACAAACAAATAAGCATGAATGAGGATGCATATACGTTTGTCATCAATGTTCTTCCCTTTTCTTCAACTTATTTGTATTTTTATTAACAAACGTAATAATAAAAAAATGTTCATTGTGGTAAACGAAATAATAATAATTTGATCTAAGTAAGAGATTTTTCTTCCAGATTTGTAAAAAATCCTTACGTGATAGAAAAAAAATGAATATTATTTTTTTCTGCATAGCTGAATTAAAACAACTTTTATGAAGTTTAAATTCACAGGCCCGTGTTATTTATAATTAAAATATAACAATGATTAATCTTACACAGTGTTATGGACAGTACTGTGCTTATTATTCTCAGAGCATAATACATTCATTTTTTTTATAGGGAACAAATGTTTTTTCTTCAGCGAGGAGACTGATGAAGAGGGTGTGACATGGGATGAAGCACGTCGGGCCTGTAGGAAAAAAGGACCCAGTCATGATCTTGTGTCTATCCACAGCACAAAGGAACAAAGTAATCCAATGGATCACGTTATACAAGCTAATAACGATTTACTTTTTCTGTGATATTCAGCAACACTTTGACTGACCTATGAACAATTATTCCCAATAATGTTAATAAACGATAGATATTTAAAGCAGTTATATTACTCACACTCGATTCGTATTTACTCAGAAATTTCTAGTTTCTTCTTAAGGTTCAATCCGAAAGCAGATGTGTGGGATTTCATTAGTCTAATCTATTGACAAATTAATATTGTTACATATATGTATACAATAACAAAGCATATACTAATGTTTATTTTATTGATATTTACAGTGTTCTTAACGAGCATGTTAGGTTACAGTAATAAATCAGCTTGGATCGGACTGCAAAGGCCTAGTAATGAATTTGGTCGCTTCATTTGGTCGGACAATTCTCGGTTTGACTTTGACTTTTGGGGTCCCGGAGAACCAAGTTCATATAATGTAAGATTTTTCTGAACATTTTAAAAGGAAAGTAACTAGAATGTCTCTTTGTAATGAGTTAAGGGGTAATAATGTCTAGAATTATAACAATACATTCTAGATGTCAAAATTATTGTTTTGGGACATTTTCTTGGAGATTTGATTAATCATGAAATTCAAAACAAAACCAAAAATAAATCTAAATAGCAGCAATGACCGTTTTCGTCCGACAGGAAAGATGTGTTGAGATGATGGGCTCTCCACCCAGTGCTGGTAAATGGAACGACTACAGATGCGAAGGAAAAAGATCTTATATTTGCCAACGTTATAAAGGTAAGTTATCTTAAAACTTACTGTTGTTGTTTTCAGATAAGGATGATATTTCAATTGTATCATGGTAAGAGTAATTTTTAAGTTAAAGGTATTATACTAAGTATAAGAATGCAGAAGTATCCAAACCAAATCGATCGACCTCCAGTATTTAAGAATTATTTACAACGAATAGAACCACATTCACCTTAAGCAGTGATTTTGCACTTTGATAATTGATACAATTTCAGCTTCTATTCTGTATTTTAGAAAGGTTCTATAGCAGGTTAATGGCAAGTATAATTATAATCCTACTTCTTCAGAAATCCAGTTTCCTTAAGTGAATGTGTTGTTCATTCTACAGTTCATCCTATCACAGTGAATTTCACCCTTTGTAATCGATTTAATGCGGATGCTACGAACTAAAAAATATTAAATTATTTTAACAAATACGGTAGAACTTTCGTGACTCAGAGGCCCGGCATAGCCAGGTGGTTAGGGCGCTCGACTCGCAATCTGCGGGTCGCGGGTTCGAATCCAAACATGCTCGCCCTTTCAGCCGTGGGGGCGTTATAATGTGACGGTCAATCCCACTATTCGTTGGTAAAAGAGTAGCCCAAGAGTTGGCGGTGGGTGGTGATGTGGTGATTAGTCTTACACTGCTAAATTAAGGACGGCTAGCGCAGATAGCCCTCGTGTAGCTTTGCGCGAAATCCATAACAAACAATCATGACTCAGCTAGCTGGGCAAGATGCATGGATAACATTAGAGTGTATGTAAGGATATACATTAGAACTTTCATAAGTCAGCTGATCAAGATGCATGGATAACATTAGAGTGTATGTAAGGATATACATTAGAACTTTCATAAGTCAGCTGATCAAGATGCATGGATAACATTAGAGTGAATATAAGGATATACATTAGAAC